GAAAGCGTTTCCAGGACACCTGAGAAACAGCGTGGCCGTTCATGCTGGAAGTCACCCTGGCTCCTCGCTCCGCCGGGAGCAGGAGGCTCACGTGGGATTCTTCCCACAAACACGGTGTCAGCGCCCTTCCTCCCTCCAAGTAAGCCGCAAGTTTGTGCAATTTCTGGAAGTGGGCCTAGGAGTCAGTATTTTAGGAAAGGTATCTGGCATTCTAGGGCGCCTCAGGGTTCCCTGCTGGAATGCGGGGTCTTCTGCCTCACTCGCAGCAGGCGCCATTAACTGAACGCAGCCCTCCTTCAGCCCGACCTCGCTTTCTCCTCCACGCAGCGTCTAGGGGAGCCCTAGCCAATGCACCCAGAGCTGCAATCGGGTTAAGAAAGAGAGTGGGGCAGAAGGTCATGCTCCTCACGGATAGGGGCAGGGGTTTGCAAAGGCGCTGGCTGGCTGCAATCCGGGGGGACTCGGCCAAACAGCTGTTTCAGCTTCTAGAACAAGGGCGACTCCAGAGACGGCAGTGGACCGCACCTGGGCTCTCCCTGAGTCCTCTGGGTCCCTCTTTCCATGGCGGTGTGGTGTGCGTCCCACTCCCAGCCAGCTCCAACGTGCTTTTGCCTTCCCCAGTTGCAGATTGTCTCTGGGTGCTTTATTTTTATTTCGTTTTACTTTTGCAAATCCTGAGGCCTGAGGATTGAACTCAGAACTTTCACACTGAGCTACATCCTCAGCCCTATTTTACCACTTAACAGTTTATCTGAGCATCATCCAGGCTGTGCATTTATTTATGACTTCTTCTTTCTTTCTTTCTTTCTTTCTTTCTTTCTTTCTTTCTTTCTTTCTTTTTTTTTTTTTTGCGGAACTGGATATTGAACTCAGACCCTTGCGCTTGCCAGGCAAGCGCTTATTCTACTGAGCCATCTCCCTGGCCCTATTTATGACTATCCCTAGCATGGCTCGGAAGGTGTCATTTCTACCAGTGGATTCTCGTTTGCACAAGATATCCTCCTGTGTCTGCTTACTTTAATTTTCTTTTTATCTTTTTGACACAGGATCTCACTGTGCAGTTCAGCCTGGCCTTGCATTCACTTTGTAACCCAGGCTGGTTTTGAACTTGCAACAATCCTCTTGCCTCAGCCTTTGAGTGCTGGGATTGCAGGAGTGCACCACCACTCCCAGATTATTTTTTATAGAGACTGTTTTTGCATTCTTTTTAATTTAGAATGTTGTGTTCACCTTTGATGTTTGTTTCTAGTCAAATCTAGTAATAATAATAATAGCAATAGTAATAATAAGTTCTGGTTATTTTCTTTCACTAATTCGTGTTTATTTCATTTGTGGAAAATAGCCTGTAATTTTTTGCTAAAATCTATAAAAATTATTATCATAAGTACTTTAGAGGGCTGGCCAGGTAGATCAGCAGATTAAAGAGCCTGCTTAGGCAGATGCAAGGACTGGGGTTCGATCCCCAGCGTGCCATGCCAGCCCCGCCCCTGGGGTGCACTGAGACCTTGACTGAGCCTGGGCAGGGTGGCACACCTGTAATCCCAGTGCTTGGGAGGTTGAAAATAGGTGGCTCACTATGAGTCCGATCTGTGTAGTGAGAACCTGTAGATCCTGTACTAACCACAAAAAAGTACACTCAGTGTCATCCTTATACTTCTCCAGCGCTCTGTGGTGTTCTGTCATCACACAAAACGGACACCTTTGGGTCCCTGAGACTGAGCAAGAGGCAAGCGCCAGAACAGCTGCCTGAGAGGAGACTGCAGGAGAGATGTTCGCATACCACAGAGGAAAGGCCTGCGATAGCAGATAGCAGGACAAACAGACATGGACTGCCAGCACCTTGCAGTACACCAGTGACAGGGCTTGAAAGGAGTGTATCCCTCCACGAGCAAGGCCTGCAGATTATAGACGCTCAGCCATCAGCTAGCGTTTCGCTCTAAAGAGATCACAGAATATTTTGCCAAAAACTCAGCTGGACCATACTAGTGCTAAGTCGGCTTCCGGCGGTATCACGGGGTCAGCCGTCAGACCGGACGCAGGCCCTCAGTGCCGCAGCACGAGCTGCTGCTCAGCACTTACAGGACAACGTGGGCCGGGCAGCTTCCTGGCTCTGTGACCCTGGGGAAGCCGCGCTGCCTCTGCGGCCCAAATCCCAAGTTTATGAGAGCACTGTTAGTAGAACCTGCCCGAGGGCCGCTGGGCGGTTAAATGAGGTGCTGGGGGCTGCACTTGCAAACCGTCCTCAGGGGCGTTAGCTCCCGGGGGCAGGGCTGGGTATGTGAACATGGTATTGTCGGTGTCGTCTGCGCGTGCCTTCGGCTCTTCTCCTTCGCACTGCCCTTTCTGGTTCTCCACCCTGCTTCCCGTCCTGGGCCCAACCTCCGGGCACTTCGCTTCTCACCGATCGTGCTTTAGTCTCCTTGCCTTTCCGCCCCTCTTGGCTTCACTTGGTGCTTCTTTTCTCCCCTTCCTTCCCCATGAGCAGTAATCTGGAGCTGTTTCATGACTGCATTCTCATCACCTCGATGCTGTAATCCCCACTTAAAACACTGGAAAGTTAGTTAGGCCGCAACATTTCAGTACCAGGAAGGCGCCCTGCGTTCCTCTCGGAAGGCCTCCGGGGCTGGCGGCCTTTTGCAGCCGCTCTGGGCATCTTGGTCTGCGGTGGGCTCAGCACTCTCCAGCTGTGCATCTCAGACCTCTTCCCGAGTGCTTCCAAGCCTCCGCTCCCCGCCCCGTGGGATGGAGCCACGGAAGGTACACCAGCCCCGGCCGGCGCTTGCGTGCCATGTGAGGTCAGTGCAAGACCTTGTGAGAGAGTTTGTGAAATTGCTGAAGCCAGGTGTGGGGCTGCAAGCCTGTTATCCCCGCACTGGGAGGCCGAGGCAGGAGAGTCACTGCAAGGTGAGCGCAAGGCCAGCCTGAGCTGCATGCAGAGACCCTATTTCAAAACGATAAAAAGAGAAAGAGATGCTGAGCACATGCTCAGAGAAGCTAGTGTTTTCACAGTTCAAAGCTGGCCGTGGAAATGGCAGCGGCACGCGTGCTCTGCGCCCTCTGCAGAGCAGAGAGCTTGCGATCCCGCGGCTCTCCTCCTGCCGTTGGCCCGGAGTTTGGGGCCGGACATTTCCAATTCCCAAGCAGCCCTGAGAGCAGAGTCATGGGAAGACTTTCCGAGAAATAACTAAGTGGATTCCGGAATAAATCCGTCCAGAAGGCCCACAGCAGCCCCCACCCCCACCATCTGTCCTGTAGTCCACTCCGACACTGGAAACGCAGACTGTGCCACCATTCTTACTTTCTTGGTCAAAAGAGTTCTTCCTACTTGGCGGTATCATTACAGTGCACTGGGGCTTAGGAGAAGAAACCCTTATGAGAACAGCCCGAAGATGTCTGGCTCTGGAGAGATGCCGCCTGGACCCTTGACGGGGGGACCAGAGCTCTTCCCCAGGATGGCTTTGGCCAGCTGCCTAGCAACAGCCAAGCCTTGTCTGAACATTGCAAGATGTTGCTCACACTAGCACCATTACTTTTTAAAATGAGTATTAGGTTTTGTGAAACACAGCACCTCATTAAATGTAGCCTTCCAGTGTGCAGTGTTTCCAAAGAGTTGGTGACAGCTGCGCAACATGGAAAGTGAAGTCCAGATTCTGAGTGGCCACAAACATAAGTATTGGTGACTTAAAAAAAAATCATAGTATTTATATATAACGAGACCTAGAGATTGTGAGTATTCACAGGTAAGTCAGCTGTCAAGCAGCCCTCACGTTTTCCCCACAGAACAGGTGCCATGGTTCCCGCGCTTGCCTGAAAGCCAATGCTCTGCCCGGACTCCCGAACTTTAGTGCTCTGCGCTGCTCCACAGAAGGAGTGGGGATCAATGCCGTCTTGTGCGTATGTGCAGAAATGGAAGCTATGAGTTAGGATTAATCAGAGCTCCATGATTCATCAGAAAATCAATGCATTTAAAGGTCACTAATTTCTCTAAATGATTTTTAGGTTGCTTTGTAACCCTTCGGGGTTTAATCTTCTCTATTAAATTGTCTCTGGCGTACACAGTTATTAAGTCAGTCGTGCTTGGTGTAATTAACTCCTGATATTAATCCTCTCATGGATTTATGCCCTGGCCTTTCCTAATCACTTGATTCTTGCCTCTATCAGAATCCCTGAACTCATCTGATCTTTGTGACAAGCATTTTGCCTGAGAGAGCAGGGAGCGCTGTGTGGAGTGCCCAACGCTGGGCTCCGGCTTGGGCAAGCCCCTAGGTTTCCTAATCCTCAGCATTCCGACCTGTGAGATGGGTTAGCACCCGTCCCTATGACACAGAGTCGAGAGAATCAGAACACAGCCTACTCGAACCATTCAACAGAATAACTAAAAGGCAGCAGGAGTGAAAGCCACTGAAGAATTAAGAAAAGCAGTTAATAAAGTATTACCTGCATATGCAGGTGTCAGATGGGCAGATGGCCTTCCAGAATTTAATGTTTTTCTTTTTACAGCAATTTGACCCCTCCCCCAGCAAGCCGCCCTCGCCTGCCCCAGCCAAGCAATCAGCCCTGGGTGCTCAGCACACTGCGTGTCTCTGCACGTGACCTTTAGCTGTGTGTGCTGCGGGATGTACGAGATGAGGACCACTCATGCTTTCTCCTTAAGGCAGCTTGTCTGTCTTTTTTTTTTTTTTTTTTTGCGGAACCGGGGAATGAACTCGGGCCCTTCAGCCAAGCGCTTATTCTACTGAGCTATCTCCCCGGCCCTTGTCCGTCTTCAAGTTGGGTGAACGGCTGGAATTCTGGCGTGCGTGTCTTCCATCCTCAGGGACAGCAAGCGGCCGGCCCTTTGTGGCCTTCCTTCTGGGGGGCGGGAGGGGCAACCAGCCCCCCCGGCGGGCTGAGGGCAGAGGGTTCTTGGGGGGCAGAGGGTTCTTGGGGGGCGGAGCAGCCCTGCGCGGCCTTCTCAGGGTCTCTGCAATGTCCTGCTTTCTCCTTTCGGCCACAAACAGTACTTCATTACCCCGGAAGGCTCCGGCTTCACAGTCGACAGCACCGGGACAATTTCCACGACAACTGACTTTGATTTTGAGAGTGAAACTAGAAGGTAAATATTCCTACCGGGTGTTCATGCTTCGGTTTGTTTCCCTCCTTCCTCCCTGTCTGGTCTTAGTGTGCTCCCAGGATGAAGGCGTCTTCGGCTCTGCCTTAAAAAGAGAGAAGGGTTGGGATATAGCGCAGCCTGCCTGGCAAGCGCAAGGTTCTGAGTTCGATCCCTGGTACTGCAAAAAAAGAAAAACAACAACAACAACAACAACAACAACAACAACAACAACAACAACAAAAACAAACCGGCATCAGAACGTGGCCGACCATCCCCGCAGCGCCGCTCCCGCCCCCGCCGCTTCCCCAGCGAGGCCCAGGGTGCCCGCAGGTGCGGCCCACAGGTGCGGCCCGCAGGTGCGGCCCCCAGGTGCGGCCTGCAGGGCGGGGTCGCAGGTGCGCTGCTAACGCACGTGGACGCTGCCCTTTCCTTTCTCCGCGTGGCCCCACCAGGCAGCGCGCTGTGGTTTTGTTCTTATACTGATGTCAGTGACCACGCTGTCCAGTTGTCAGCTTCGCCTCTAGGGCTTGCGAAGAGAAGCACAGGACGCTGGAGACATCGCCGCAGCAAGCCGCCGCGGAACCTCAGTGGCCCTGGGTGTGCAGGCCCAGCCAGGCAGGCCGGCGACAGCGGAGGCCCGGGGGGAGCAGAGCAACAGGAGTCCCCGGGCCTTCCTGCGACCCGAGGCAGACATCACCCAAGCCTTTATTCATTTTCCTTGGTCCCCGAGTCCTCTAGCCTCTGTCAGTAATGGTCTTACCAGCATCTCTGGCAGTCGTGACTAACATGTCACGGTTTACGTCTCTTCTCGGCCTCCTACTCCTGTGGCAGCGGGAAGCTTAGAAATCTTCAGATCTGTCCACAAATTAGTGGAAGAAAAAGCCACTGATGAGAGCGCAAGCGATGACCCGTTCTCCTCATGAGTGACCCTGGGAGCCTCCCTTTCCTCAGGCTCTTCAGTAGGCAGAGCTGACCCTGGAAGCCCAATTGCTGGGTGCAGGCAGGAGGGAAGCGCTGCTGGCTCAAGCCAGCTCTGCTGGCGCCCAAGGTCCGAGAGAGCGCACGCTCCTCGGGTTGGGCTTGGGGGCCCCTGAGCAGCGCTGGCGGGGAGAATGAAAGCGACTTGGGACCGCACTCCTTCGGACCAGGCTGCGCCCTTGCGAGGAGACCCAGGAGCTGTGGAAGCTCTTGCTCAAATCCTGCAGAGAGTCGGGGAGGGAGGCTCCCTGCTTCGCATCCCTGCCACACCCTGCTGGTCCACAGGCCGGCTCAGGGGGGCGGCGCTTCAGGGCTGCGAATCCCACACGCCTCCTCCTCTCCTGCTTGTGCTCTGATCTCCCCACAGTTATTTTTGAAAAATCCTTTTATTCCTATAAGTGGATTGACTGTGTTTTTTTGTCAACAATATACCTCATAAATAACTTCTTGTAGAAAAAATGACAGAGGAAAATTGAAAACTTTTAATTTTAATTTTAATTTTTTGCATTTTTAGGGGAAGGGTCTCAGGGGGTTCAGGGTCTCACTACTAAGTCAGACTTGTAGTGATCTGTCTGTTTACAGCCTCCCAAGAGCTGGGATTACAGGCGTGCGCCACCATGCCCAGTCTCAGTTGCCACCTCAGCGAGCCCCAGGGGCAGGTCCGGCAAAAAGCTTTAATGTTTAGCATTGTTAGAAGGCAAACAGCCATTTGGGTCTCAATTATTAGTACATTTAGCTTTATCACTTAAAATAGAATGTTTTCTTTTTCCTCCCAGTTTGCCTTGGGCTGGGGAGTTTCCTGGGGTTTGTACCTTCTGTGCTGTTTTAACCCGGACAGTGCTGGGTCAGTTTGGAGACGTCATCTCCAGAGCACAGCGTCTGCCGTGCGGCCGCTCAGCTGTAAAGGAAGCAGTGTTCGCTTTCCACCTTGCGTCTCTGCACCTTGAAGCCTGTGCACATCCCTGCTGAAAGAAAAGCCTGCCCACCCCTAGCCGCCCCGACGCTGCCACGGCTACTTGCACAGAGCTGTTTCCAAGCGTCCTTAGCATTTCTTCTGCACTGTCTGTTTGCAGTGCACCAACAGCCTTTCTAAGTCCTGGCCCGTGCTTGCAATTCATATGACCAATTTGTTTTTTAACAACGTGTTAGCCATTTCTAACCGCTGAAATGACTGGCGTGATAGACGTTTTTACCACATGAATAAATTAGTGGATGCAGGTAGGCCCAGTAGCCTGCATTTCTGCAAAAGCCTGTGGTGACTACACAAGCTGACCTGTTTTCCTGTGGCTGTACTTTCAGTTTTTCACTGGTTATTAAAGTAGCTGATCCTGGAGGACTGTATGCTGCTGGGAATCTAAAGATTTTCCTCATCAATGTCAACAATAAGAATCCCATTCTGACCTGCAGGTAAGGACATAAAACACAAAACCTATGATTTTAGTTTAACCTTAAAAATTGATTTTGAAAATACAGCCTTTTTTTTCTTTCTTTTTTTTGTAAGAAGGAAGGCAAGCATGTAAGGTGTAAACAGCTGCATTGTAGAATTCCAAAGAAAAAGCTTTCTCCAAAATGGAAAGCAGAATAGTTTCTAAGTATATAGCGTATCACAAATACAATAGAAAGAGGTGATATTGGGTGCGTTCCTAGTGTTTGACCTGTCCCTCCGTAGCTGTGTATGTGATTCTAGCCAGGGCTGCTGCCAGGGCGTTTATGAAGATCTGCCGAGCACCAGCAATTCTAGGAAGCCGCTCTCTACTACAGAAGGCAAAGAATGCGGTCACCACGGAACAGGTTGCCAAAAAGTGTTGGGGTCGAATTATTAATTTCTTAAATTCTTAGTGTCCTCACCTATACGGTGAGGACCAAAATGGCACAGTCTTCCCACAGCTGCTATGCGGGGTAGACGACAGAACCCAGAGTTTGGACTGCAAGTAGGTGCTCAATAAATCGGTCAGCCACTAAGATCATTGTTAGCGATATTTTCCAAACCCATTGCTGTGTAAACACCGATCCATGCATGACATCCGCAGGGATGACTTCTTGAGCCAAAGCAAGAAGTCACGGGACTTTTTATTGGAAAGAAGGAGAAGGAGAACAGCTCCTGGGTCCTGAGTGGAGTGGGCCCAAGGCCCTGGATTTAGAGCGAGCTGCAGACAAATTCCTGTGTAGACACAGGAATTGCTCCACTGTTCAGAAGTCACACATCACAATGGCTCTGTGGATTTAGAATGATGAAGTGGGGCTCAAGCTTTTAGCTCAGTTCCTAGAGGCACGGGATTTACAGGAAGTTGGGACCTTAGGAAGGACTGGTTACTTTGCGGTGTAATTTCCTTGAAATTCAGGACCTGAGTAAGGGCTGGCTCACCTCTCTCCAGTGGGGGTTGGGATGCCTGCCGAGCCGCTGAGGAAGTGCACTCTTCGTGCACAGTCCTGGTTTACTGTCTGTTCTTAATTTTTATCAGTATGACTGGCCACCCCCCCCCCCCATTTCTACTAGCCAGCTGCTTTACTTAGAAACTTACTAAATACATTCTTTTCTACACTGCCACAAAGTGCAGGAAAGGTAGCAAGCAAGTAACACTAATGGCCTCTTCTTTCAAAACAAGTTTATTCAGCATTGAAAATGCTGTCTGGAGCGTGGCTTCGATGAACTCAACTCTTCAGGACAAAGCCAACATCACTCTGGATGAGGAAATCCCAATCGGGAAAACCGTTGGAACGTGCCAGGCACATGACGAGGATTCCTTGGGAGATTTGACCTTTGAGCTGGAGCCTTGGAACGTTTACTTTGCAGTCGACAAAGGTAAAGAGAGACGCACTGCCTGCAGGGCATAGTGTGGCGTGTGGCTGTGTGAGCCCTTCCTTGTGCGCAGCTCCTGTGCGGCCCCCTTCCTGATTTCCAAGACCCCACCATGAAGCACATGCTGGGAACTTCACGATGATCGGTTCCACAGCTCTCCACAAGGTGTCTGTCCACCCAGAATCTCCCAAGTAGTGCTGGGTGGTCGCTACAAAGTAGGGCTCTTAGCCCTCCACCTCACACCCTTCTAGTTCACCTCAGACCTAGCCTGAGTCTTCTCTCTGCTTCTGTCTGCACTTTTGTGAGAGAAAATCAAGGTGGCTGCTGTGGGGCTGGTCATTTATCCCTCATCCAGGCCGGCTGTGACTGAGGCAGGGGTGGTCTGAGTATGGGAACCTGAGGTTTCTTCTGAGGCTGAACAGAGAGGAAAGGTGGCTGCGGCGAGTGCATGTGCAGGTGTACCCACCGCTGCAGACACTGCCGTCGTCGAGCTCGCTTCTCCTCTGGCGTACCGTGTCAGGGCAGCCAGCCTGGCTGCTGCCTCAGTAGCAGCACTTCTTTGCCTGAGGTGTTACCTGGAGTCTGACTATGCCTCCACTTTCTTGCTCCCCAGCAGGTTGGAGGTGTTGGAGGAAAATCTACCCCTCGGGAGCTCTTGGCTAGTGATTGGAGTTGGTTAGAAATTCTCTAGCCCTTTGCCCCTGGGGTGGGACACCCCTGCGTGTCTGCCCTACCGTGGCTCCCAGAATTCCCCAGTGGTGTCAGCCTCCAGTTCGCTACCAAGGAAGTTCGCTTGGCAGTGCACTTTTCTTGGGAGTTTCTCTCCTCGCCTCACTTTGCCCCTGCGTCACTGCACACAAATCCTCACCTCACTCCCTGCTTCCTGCTTCTGGGACAGCCCCAGCTGAGACACCACCCTTGTTATGTGCATTGTTGCCCTGATTGCTTGCTGGGCTTTGCTCGGCAATGACCACGAGCAGGAAGTGTGAGCCCTGTGGCCCCAGCGTGTGCTCGTTTTTGCGGAGCTCTCTGCGCTGGGCGCAAGCCCTCACCCGTCTCCATGTCTGTACCCCACATGTGCTTTGCAGCCTAAAACAAAGGCCTCTTCTGGAACGACTTCTCATTCCAGAACAATTTTGTTTTTGCTACCAGCTAACACAATATGATTAATAGTGTATGAGTAATGAAATACCATGCTTCCACTTGGAAACAGTTTCTTAATTTTAGTGAGTGGGGCATAGAATGGAATATAGTTGATTTTTTTTTTTTTTGATAGCTGTACATATTACCAATTTTGGAAACAATAGCCCGGCCCTTGAGCAGGACATGTTTTGTTGCAGAGCGTGGGACGGTGGTTACTGCCACTCGACTGGACATGGAGCGAGAGGGGTTTGCAAGCATCCAGTCCTTCTCCATTAAGGCCTGTGACCGTGGCCAGAGGTGCGCAGCAATTCCAGTGGCTGTCTCTATTCACGGCATTAATGACAATGCGCCTTTCTGTGACCAGTATTTGATTAGGTAAGCTGAGGTGGGCGGGTGCATGCGGGCATGCCTGGAGGCGGCCTGAGGGAAGGAGGCACTGGGTCCGACCATTCGTTGGCCAGCTGGATCACGGTTGATCAGCAGACTGGCTTGACTCCTGTTCCGCCTCAGGACATGGTCCTGGGTTTCCAGGATGAGACGGTGCATGGTGACAGCTTGGGGTTTGGAGTCAGGGCCCTGGCTTAGAAGCCTGGGTCTATTCTTTGTTATCTTAATGCTCTGGGGCAATTTACTTAATCCCTTTGATCTTTAGATTTTCTTTGTAAAATGAGTGAGCCATGGTACTCAGTGGAGTAGTGGTGAAAAATAAATGAGATGATTTACACACAAGGGCTGAGTTGATGTTTCATAAATATTGTCTGTTGTCCGAAACCCTTGGCGCTGCATGGGTCGGGATGAAAGTTCTCCCTTCTGACTGCAGAGTGGTCACACAGTGTGACCTCAGGTGTGGCGCGCCTCTCACGGTGCGACAGGAGCAGAGTCCCGCAATGCAGGCTCTAGTGACTGTTGCGCCACATGAATCAAGTCCAGACCTGAGCATTTTGGTGATGTTTTGACATAAAATATTTTCAGGTCAGGTCAGGTTGTGAGGTTGAATAAGTGATGAGAAAAATGGGTGTTTCAGAACTCTGGGGCTTAGACATTTGGATGAAGGGCGGTGGGTCTGGAGGCCCCTCAGGGCGGCCACTTTCGCTGGCTGGTTCTGTCTTCTAAGCTGCGTATCTGTCACTTCTGTGCTCCCCATGTCACCTGTAACCCACACAGACACCAACCACTTCCATGTTCCCTGAGCATTGCTCCTGTCTGGCTCATGAAAAATAAAATGTCCCCCCGCTAGTTACTACCCAAGGTCTCCGCTGGGAGCCAGGTACCTTTCAAATAGAGATGATAATTGTGCCTACCACGCAGCCTTGCTGTGAGGACAAGTACCGTCTGCTTCTCCCACCCTTCCCCTGCACACTTCTCTCCTTGCGGTTCCGCCAGGAGGACCCTAGCTGGTTACCCAGGCACACACCACATTCTGCAGGGAGTGCTGGGGTCTCTTGGGGAGAAGCGCGAGCACTTGTTATGCTCGTATTTCCATAAGGAGGTTATATCTTGTTAGGATGATAACAGATAAAGCAGAAGAAACACACACACACACACACACACACACAACATTGTGACCGAAAGTCCTGGGTTCTGTGCTGTGGTCTTTAAGAGGGAGAACATATAGGCCTGGGTGCTTAGAGAAGCCTTGTAGAGCTGGGAACTCTGCTAATTTCTGACAGTTAGAAGGGTGTAAATGTTGAAGGCTTAAGAGCCAGCATTTGGGGAGTAAGGTCTCAGAGAAAATGTGTGGACACACAGTGATGACAAGTTCTCTGTGACTACGGAAGCTCAGATGGGTTCTAGACCACGCTATCCGCGTGCTCCAGGTCTGGACAATCCCTGGAAGGATCTGATTGCCCCGCAGGCCTCTTCACGGAGGTGGTGGCCTCAGTTGGCTTTCCCTCTGTCTCAGTAACTTTTCACTTGTTGCTGGGACAAAAAACCTGGCACCCAAAATGAAGGAAGGAAAGGTTTATCCAGCCCGCACTTTGTGGAGGGTCCAGTCTGCACTCGGCTGGCTCCCAGGCAGAGCGGCATGTGGCAGAGGGCAGCAGTTCACAGCTGCAGAAAACAGGGAAGAGCAAAGGGGAGGGCAGCAGCTGTGGCTTCTAGCCAGCCCTCTCCCCTCCTTACATTATAAGCAGGCTTCCCTGGGCTGGGGGCATAGAACTCTCCAATGTCCATGCCTTCCTCTTGCACAGGATGAGGATGTTCACAAACTAAGAACACTGACTCTCTGCTGAGTCACTTAATTAAACTTCTAAACTTCTCAAGTTGACACGATGTATCCACCAGTACACCCTCTTCAGCATGTGCCCAGCCAGGAGCAGACAAGGCATGCTTGGGAGAAGGAGGTAGCGCCCCAAAGTTGCTGAGCCTGCTGGGAAGCAGTTGCCGGGGCGATGCGCTAGAGCCGATCTCCTTCCTGAGGGGTGAGCGCGGCATCCTCACCTGGGCACTGCGTCATCCAGCTTGTCAGATGCTAATGGGAAAAGCATTCTGTTTTCAAGGAACATCAGTCTCAAATGAGTTTTGTTCTTGAACAATGAAACAGGTACACAGGCCAGGAGGTGATTGGAAAGGGCACGGTGGTGGCAAAGCTCTTGTGTCATGACCTTGATGAGCCTCCGGATACAATCCACTATGTTCCAAGCTTGGGCCCACTTGGTTCTGGACAGATCTTTGAGCAGGTGCCAGGTGCTGACCATGTTGTCCAGGTGAGCAGCGGCGGCAGTGGCTTCCTGGGGAGGCGCAGCAGCATCCCAGCCGCTGCTGGGAAGGCTAGTAGAGGCTGAGGAGCCTTGACTGCAGAGGAGCGTTCCGGGCTCCCCTGCGGTCCTGCTGGAGGGTGTCTCGTCCTCCGTTATCCTGCTGCCTGCAATCATTTTCTCCTCATGATGAGCACAGAGTAATTGATTTCCTGTTTAGCTGGGGAAATCAGAGGCTGAAAAGCATGCTGATTTCCTTAGAGATAAATCTGTGTGACTATGTGGGACATGGAGTTGCCAATGGCGTTGACACTGGAAAGGGTTTGTCAGCTCCCCTGTCCCTTCTTGAGGTTTTAAGCTTTCTACTGGTGTAGTATGAATAGTTTTTTTTTCCCCCAGCATATAATTCTGGGAATATTTGGAAGAATCTTCTAGCTCCAGGTGTCCACAGGCCTCCCTTGCAGAAGGCTGTCCCTGAGAGGCTGGCGTAGTTGTTTCTCAATCCAGAGACCACTGTGTACCCTCCCTACCACTGCCTTTGCCTTTATATGGCTGTGAAAGCCACAGACCTCTTTCTTTGATCCTAACCCCAAGTTTTCTCAACAGGCTCCATGAGCCATGAGCTGAGGTTGCCCATATGTTAAGAATTTTGAAAGCTCTGGCACCCAGCTTCTTGGGTTTATGCCTGCTTTGCAACACAAGGCCCAACTGTCATTGTAAGGCGTGGAGATGTGTGAAGTGGAAGTCACGTGAACATGACGCCCTCTAAGCTCTGGCCCTCCGGGCCCGCCCCCGCCCCCATCAGTTATCCACCTGCAATTCATTCATGTCTGTGTCTGAGTAATTATGCTTTAGGTATTAAGCATCACTTATTTTCAAGTGGGTTTTTGTTTTCATGCTAACTGGCGTGGTTCTTTCTGCTAAGGGCTCACAGTGTAGGTTGTAGATTGCATATCAAAACACTTGCTAGACTCCATTGTAACTGTCTGTTTCTTGTTACTCTAGTGGAGTGCAGCATCTGCTCGTATTTCTAAGTTGCTCGTAAAATGTGCTAGAGTGTTCGGTGCTTTGTGGGTAATCAATACACTTTTACTAAGTTTCAAAATGTAGCTGTTGCTGAACATCTGGATAGTGGTGTCATTCATTCCAGCTTATGCCCACTGGATGTTCTGCTAATGTTGCTGGCATTAACTTACCTCTGTCTTCAAGACTGATCCGGGAGCGCCTCGTTTCCTGCGGTTTCCCTGGTACCTACAGTCGTAACTGGCGTCTAACTAGTTCTCAATATGTATTTTTGAAGTGATAATTTATCTTATCTGGAATAAATTACATTTTATAATACTTCATCATTTATTCAAAATATTTTATCTTAAATATTTTTTATTAAAATATTTAAGATAAGATATTTTGTCCAGGACAGAACTACGGCACACAGGGAGGCTAGGGGATGGCCTATTTCTTCCTTCTACTTTCCAGGGGGTATTTTCACTGTAGGCTGCTCTAGAAGGAAACCGATGCCCTCCTGTTCCACCAGAAGGTGTGTTTTGTGTAAATCTATGCCAGTCTCTGGCAGACCCTGATGTCTTCCCTCAGAAATGAAAATGGCCATGAATTTATTTCTTTTGGGAAGACTTATTAAAAGATATACCTTAAAACAATTGGCCCTGCAGGATCCCAGCACTTGGGACACCAACGCAGGAGGGGCACCATGAGTTCAAGAGCAGCTTAAGCTACACAGTGAGTTCAAAGCCAGCCAAAATCACAGAGAAAGACTGTGTCTCAAGCATTGTCTTTGGTCCCTTTTCTGAAGCAATGTCTCTCCACAAGGTCAGCAGAGAGCTGGACTATGAAGACCCAGAGGCGGTCGCAGAGGGGCACATCTACGAAATGATGATTTCGGTGTTCGATAGCGCACATCCCTCCCATACAGGTAACCTTGATAAACCACCCGAGGACTAGCAGGAGCCCTTTCTGTACACTGCTCACCTTAGGCTTTGAGACATAAGTATCCAGCACAGTTGGGGCAAAAGGCGAAGGGAGAGTCAGGCAGGCTTACGCTGGAAGCTTCCACCACACGTGGGAAGCTCTTCTCACATTCTAGTGGCCCTTTAAGCCACACAGTTCTTAAACACAGCTCGAGAGACATCCTTGCGGTTAGGAGGGGTGGTGGATGTACAGATCCAAACCCTGTGCTCAGTGCTTTCCTTTTAATAATATGCCTGTTATTGGGTACTTTCAAAGTGGCATTTGAATCACTTTACACGATGCAGACATGGTGTGCCTGGCCCTGTGGCCCACACGCGTTCTCAAGGTGCAGGCGTGGCCTTCTCCTTCCCTGGGGCTCTTTTCACAATGTCCCACCATTCTGGGTCAGCCTGCGGTGCAGCAGGCTTTTGCTGTAGTGTGAGTAAGTCCGCCAAGGCCGGGTGATCACGAAGCCTTCGGCACTGACGGATCTAACAGTCACAGCTTTGCTAACTGCGAAACACTCCTTACCTTTGGGATGTGTTTTAAGTGAGTGCCACGGGCCCAGAGCACAGAGCACGGGTCCAGGACCCGAGTAGCTTAGCTACCCACCAATGGCTGCTTTTCTTTGTTTATTGTCACTCACAGTAGGACTCACATTAGGTGCCTGATGGGGCCCTTACATAGTTAACTCCATGTTATAATTTTAAGAGTGCATTTATTGGTTATAGAGATTTTAATGAAAATAAAAATTCTCCAAATTTTCCAATTTTATCTGTCACTAATGTCAAGTGTCCCTAGGACTTAGAAGTTGTGGTGGCTGTAAAGCACAAGCCACCCAGCAGACAGCTGGCGTAGTGATGTCCCAGGAGGTATGCGTATCAGGCGGTGAACACAGGGTTAGCCAAGGGCTCGGTAAGGACAGCCTAGAACATGGTGGTGTTTGCGTTTCTTGTGGGGACTCCACATCGGTGGTGGTTGCTTGTGTCATTCTGTTAGGACTCTGCGGCTGGGCCTGGGAGCAGTGCGCTAGAGTGCTTTGTCTTCCACGGACGTGGACAGGCGGAGCTGTGCCATGTGTCCATAGCTTTGCCACCAGAGGAACTTAAGGCTGAACTTCAATCAACACCCTAAACCTCTTTAAATCTCACCTGATTTGCGGATGTGAGAGTTTTAATGGTGTCTTCCTTGCAAAGGACAGCTGTGGAGGCCAATGGCCCAGCTCTGGGGTGCGGCCCTGTGTGGGGAGCGGGAACCCACGCCGACAGTCACAAGGACACTCTTCGTGCGTTCCGTTCCCATGCAGAGCCGGTTACACAGCCAGCTGGCTTTGGAGGATGGATGCTTTTTTCTTGCTGCCATTTACCTGGATGGTCTAACTAATCAAAAGGGAGCTTTTGCCTTTCACGAAATTTGAGCCTTTGCCTGCTGGAGAGGGAGAGACATTTCTCACAGTAATACATCCGCATCCTCTCTGCGTGCCAATGCATTCACAGCAACTGCTCCTACAAGGTGCAGCAGCACTGCACGTGCCGCTTGGGCGACTTTAATAGGCCAGCTAATTAGCACAGTTTGGGTGGTTAAGGCTATAATCGAAATCACAGTATGCAGAGCCGTAAATGGCACCAGCTTTTGAATCATGTCAGTGGGATTTGTTGAGGGAGATACACAGCCCTTAGCATAACCCACCTGCCACTGCAGAGCAGCACTCCTGAGGCCTTGGGGGATTGTCAGCACCCCGGGACTCGGATGAAAGTCCTGTGAAAAATGCGGGTAGCAATGCGTGTCGAAATACAAAGAATGCCGCAGCGTCTCTGAGGGAAAGGTGCTGCTGATCTCAGGGTGAGTTTTCTGGCTGGACACGTGTGGCACAGGTTTTTCCGGATCACAATGCACAGAATTGTTGAGAACGTGAGTTCTACAAGATGACTTACGAAGGAGACTTCTACGACCACGTAAGTTTAGGGAGTAACACACCCCGGAGAGGCCAGATACGTAATAGCAGATTAGCTACTCTACAAAGTCCTGCCATAGTATGCTTTTCAATCTTTATGTAATTTAGCATTTTGTATTTCACACATTCCTACCCTAGAGAAGATCTCTTGGGAGATATTCCCAGGTGCAGCCTGGTCCAATAGCCACTTTGTGACTCATTAGCTTTGTGACCTCTGGCCACAAGCAATTCTGTGAACTTTAGTTTCTCACCTGTAAAACTGGAACAATAACACCAGTGTCAAGCCAATGTCTTGTGCAGAAAATACCATTATTTTAATTTTATTGAAAATGTTCCCTGTTTACAAATTGCTTGTCATATGCTTGAATATTAAACTCTTATCTTTTTACAACTCTTCAATGTGCTGCTGCGGCTTTTGCCATGAAATGTGGACTTCCTTCTTTATAATATACACTAAATCTGGCTACGGCAAAGTAATTGTAGTAACTACTTTTTGCCTCCCTTATTACAGTTTGTAAATCTCCTTTGGGCATAATCTCATTTTGACCTCACATGCGCGTGGTGAGGGAGGAGATCAGAGCTGATGTTTTCCTTTCTGAGGACATAACTGGGCTTCTGAGAAGCTACACTAGTTGAGAGCGCACGGGAAGTCCTAAGGCCAAGCACTGAGCATGGGCTTTCCTGGTCTCTTTCCACATAACCTCTAGGGAATACACTGGAAGCAGAATGTAGACTGTTAGGAGCTGGGCTGAGAGTGACACCCCAAAAGCTGTAATGGAGGAGGTTGTACCTGTGAAGCTGCAATAAGTTCTCTTGTGACAATATATAAATATGCATTTATAGGTAATATGAATGGGTACATGAATGTCTGTTGTAGGAGATGTAGTACATTATATTTTTTACTAACTTGCTTTGGCTTTTTAAAATTCATTTTATTGAGAAAGAAATAGAAATGAGACAGTTTCAAAGCAGGTTAGCAGGACAGTTACAATAATTAATACATTGCATATTGTTGTCTTTGTAGTAGTTATTCATAGTACAAGATGCAGACATGATATCTTGTCTAAACACTGTTCAAAACTTTCTTCTCATTGAACTAAGAGAAAGTAGCAATAGATTGATGCTATTTTGTATATACAGATGTATATATATATTTTCACTACAAAATGGTCCTTCATTTATATCCTCTTTTTTGTTTACTTGTGTCAGAGATGGGTATTCCATCGCCATTCACATATTGTAGGTGCGTGAATTCCGCCAAGTAATTGCATGCAGCCCAGTCGCCCATGGCAGCAGCGGGCATCCTCAGCGGCACGCGCTAACCTGCCTTGGCTAGCACCAGCGCTCCCTTGGGTTCTTGCCAGCACAGTCTGGGGCGGGGATCTTTTGGGGCAGAAGGGTGGCATTGTTTCAGCCCCCCCAACTCTGGACTTTGGGGTGCTCGGTTTGTGTGTGGAGCGCAGCGGTGGCTGCCTCGCACTTACTCTCTGCTCTTTTCCAGTTACCGTGAGGGTCGTGGTGCAGGTGGCCCCTGCCAACGACTTCAGCCCCACGTTCCAGGCCGCGCACTACTCGTTCTCGGTTCCGGAGACGTCAGGAGGTAGGGTGTCCCTCGCTGCTGTGACAGGAACGCGCCTCCGTGTGCCGCTTGTAGGGTTTGCATCTGCAGGGAAGCGTGGGACGCAGGAGGGCGAGGGAGCGAGCCTGTGGGAGCCAGCCTGCGGGAGCCAGCCTGCGGGAGCTGCGTGGCTGTTTGCCTTTAGCTCAAGCCCTCCAGCTCTCGCGGAAATCAGGATTTTGGATCCGAAGTCGAGAGCATGGACGCGGGTCTGTCGCAGTCATAGATTAGATATGAATGAGGTCGGATCGGCTGGCACAGACAAGGGAACGCTGGCTGCAGAAGGGGCAGCAGAGGTTAGGGTCACCGTTTTCTGTGTCCAAGAGAGGCGCACGCTTCTTCCTCAGCACCTCTGCATGGTGGATTCTCTAGGCCGGGCTTTAGGATTTCAAGAGCTGGGGCCAGATTTGTGTTGGGGTCAAGGCAGACGGGCTTGCCAGAGCACTGTGTGGAGCCGCAGCTCTGAGTGCTCAGGCGACCAGACAGGACTCAAATCCTCCTGTGCAGGGGCCGTTGGCCAAGTCGTAGAGCCTGGATGTACCTTTGAATTCTCATCTGTGAAATGAACATTCCTGAAACCACCTCAGAGAGCTGATATGAAAATTAGCTGATAATTTGAGGTAGGCTAACTACATGGCACTCGTTGAAGTAGCCAGGACGTCATCGCCAATAACACTAGCAGCCACACATTTACTGGCTGCCTGCGCTACACGCACTAGAACCGTCGCCTTGGGTTCCTTTGTAAACATCCCTTGGCTTTCCCCACCAGAACATGTAACCTGAATAAAATGAGAGGAATTTTTTTGAGATATTTATTAGAGGAGAAAAAAATCTTTCAAGTCACTGGAACTTTGCTCTCAGAAGAAAATTGGAAAGTCAGAACTACTCTGAAAATAAAGTCTCCTCAAAATATCAGCCATTTAGCCTACAGACCTTGAGGATATTAAAAAAAATCTGTTAATGTGAAATCTTTTTGCATGCTGAGTGGATTAGTACAGAGGATTTGAGAGTATGCTGAGAATTGCATGAAAGCTTTCCCCTAACAAAATTAAGGGATTCTATAATATTTAAAGTAAAAATATATATTTTTTCTGCTGATAGGTGGTGAGCTGACAAAGAGTTTCTGTAGAGGGCAGACACAGGCAGCAGAGTTCGTTCATCAGTAGGAATTTAGCAGAACACATACGAAAATTAAATCACGCTGGGTTGCAGGCTACAGAGGAAGACTAATTTCACTTCCAATAGCTTTTGATGAGGAAGTTTGGCAGAGACCCACAGTTGCTGTTTTAAAATTCAGCTAAAAATGCCCAAGACAGTGTTCAAGTTTATTGAAAATCTACTGAAGAAGAATACACTTCCAGGTTTACTCAGTGAGGTGCTGAACGTGCAAGTGACACCTCCTTTGTCCGGGCTGTGTGACAGTGGGAGTTTTACCACAGCCTTCTCGCTGTGGTTTTGCATCACTTTTGGCATGTCCCTGGCTGTCACAGGGACACAGTGGACAATATTTTCTGGGGCTGCTGTGTATAGCAGATATACATACATGGCTTCTCTGTTCTTCAGGGCATGAGTCCTGTTTGTCACCTGCTTAGTCACACATTACCAGAGACGGGGGAGGATGTTGACAGGGAAAGAAATTCTCTGAGTTTGGGGGGACAGTTTTTGTCATGATTCTTTATGCCTGATTGTTAGCACGCAAGATGTCCCCACCTGTGCCGGGGAGCTGGTAAGCTGTTGCGTAAAGGCAGCACACTACACGGGAGTAAAGCATCTTGCGTTGAAGTTTGTAATTCATGAAGTGGAAAGTGATTATGGGTAACCAAACATATCTGTAATATATTACCATAGGCATGTTACATACCTCAGAGATTAGGATTGCGCACAACTAGCATTTATGCAGCCCGCCACTCTGAGGGCCAGCTGGGCGGGCCATCTGACCCAGGATAAGTGTGCCCAATTTTCAGTTAGCCTGGCTCGACTTTGGCTGGGGGACCCAGGCGTCATGGTCCATCTCTTGCCCTCCAGCAGGCTAGCGAGGACAAGGGAGAGAATGCAGAGATTTGGGGTCTGCTAAGGAAGTCCCTAGCTATATCCGTCTTCCCGCAAAAGCGCTGTTTGGGGGTGCTGCCCACTGTGATTATAGTGAGGAGACTTGCAGGTGTGGACTGCAGGCTTCGGCGAAGAATGCAGTTATGCCAGTCGCAGGAAAACGTTAAGTGAAATAAAGCATCTCAGAAAGCCATGTGGGTCGTGTTCTCTCTTATAAGAGAATCCAAGTACGTGGATGTATAGTGGATGGATGGCCACACACATGCAGGAGGGATTGCTGGAAGCGGAGGTGGCGCTTTGGAGATGGGGAAGGGGGTAAAGGGAGAGGCGTGGGTAATACCGTTGAAGAAGATCAAGATATGGGAAGCATACACAGACTTGCCGGAGCGAGCGTTGCTGTTCTGTACTACAAACAAGCGCTCAGCACAAGCGAAGGCCTCTGCTGCAGTGTCTAAGAATAGCATCACCACTGGCGAATGAAAAAGAAGCCCCTACTAAATATAAAATTATACACGGAGAAAACTCACAAAGGAGAAAAGTAAGGAAGAATCAGGAACGGTACCTAAATGAAATCGAAAAGCTAGACACAAATTCCTATCAGTGATTATGGTAAATATAAACAGATTGATTCCCTAATAAAAGAAACACTGAAAATGAAACATAGAGGCAGTCAGCAGATGCAAACTCGCGTCCTTCTCCTTTTGCTGCTTGCTCTGTGACCTTTTTACCTGAAGCCACTGGGCCTTGTTGCCTTACTTGTAAGATGGGGTCACGTTCGACAGAAAATAAGAGTAACAATTCTTACTCACTGTATGCCAGGCACTATTCTAAGTGATTCCTATATTTCATAAAGTGTTTCTTTAGAAATCGATTTGTACAGGGCCTCTGTGCTGGTCTTACTCAGGGTGATCCTCCTGTTTTCAGCCTCCCCAGCGCTGGGATTCCCGGTGTGCGCCGCCAAGTCTGGACTCAGGCGCTGGCTCAGCTCACCCAGTGGTGGGGCTGGCGCGGCATGTGTGCTGGGGATTGGACCTCAGTCCCTGCACTGCGTCAGCAGGTGCTTAGTCCGCTGAGCTATCTTGCTGGCCCTGAGCCATCTCGCTGGCCCAATTCCTGTCTTGTGACCTACTCAGTTGGTGACGATCTGTATGCTAGGTACTACTGCTATTCCTAGTGTGAAGATGGAGAATGCGAGGTCCAGAGAGGGCACAGAGTGGCCCAGTGGGTTACACCAGTAAGTGACGGGCTGGGACATGGGCCAGGCATCCTAGTTTCAGAGAGTACACTGTGGACCCTTTCTGATGCCAACATTAGCATAATGCTAAGATTAAGCTGAGTATTAATATTATAAAGTTATTTTTTCTATGCATATGTCATGATACACTTTTATTTATTTATTTTTTGCAGAATCAGGGATTGAACTCAGGCCCTTGTGCTTGCCAGGCAAGCGCTTATTCTACTGAGCCATCTCCCCGGCTCCATGACACGCTTTTAATAGAAACTTTGTAATCACTCCTTCCAACATGAATACTTTCGGAGACATTCTTTTATAAGATCAAACATATATGTACACTTGTAATAATAGAGATGAACATAATATAATGTTTGAACATATCAACTCATGCGTCATGGCTTGAAGGGGCAGAGGACCTTTAAGTTTTTCCCTGTGTGGTTGGAGTCTTCATAGACATTCCTTTGTCTACTGGGTTTCACGTTATCCTCTGAGAAACTGATACTACTTGGAAAGCAAATGCATGCTAAACTTAGAGTGCTGCCTCTGCACATGAGAAGAATTAACATTATACATTTTACCTGCAGCTTTCTACAAAGTTGGAAGGGTGACCGCCACTGACGACGACCACCCACCCAACTGTCTGACCTACAAGATCATCGGTGGTGACGTGCAGGCTGTCCGAAGATTCTGGATTCACCCCCACTCTGGGATGCTCGAACTCACCACGCAGCCAGACTACGAGTGTGTGAAGCAGTACAACCTCACGGTGGAAGCCAAGGACTGTGACCGCGCCCGTCCCCGCACAGCGGTGACCTCTGTGAGTAGAGGGACACAGGCTCTCATGAAGCGGTCTGCCTAGTAAGTGCTAATGCTTTGCAGCATCCAAGGCCAAACAGTGACAGAGAATGGAGACGGTCGTGCTTCTCTCTAGTTCCCAAGAATTCTGTAATTTGGTTGTTCTTCGCTCTAAACATTCAAGGTAGGCAATATTTTAGTCATTTCTGTCCTGCAGATGAGGAGCCTGAGGCACTGGGTTTAAGTAACATACTCCCAAGGTTCTAGAACTGGACTCAAACTCAGGCTGCCTCATGTTGAGAAGTGATGTTCATAATGAAATTAATTTGAAAGAAGGACAGTGTGGTCACCTTTACAGTATTTTAGTAATGTGGAAGGACTCTAGAGAGATACCAGGAGTGAATTCTGGGGTGTTATGCGGAGTGTGATTAGTGACTACTGTAGTCAGGGCTCACAAGAAAAGCTATACAATAGAGGACTTCACAATACAGGATGTGTGATTTACAGGATTGTATTGTAGTAGTCACCTGCAGTCAGGTACAAAAGGGTGCAGGATCTGTCCCACATTCAAGATCCAAAAAATCCAACTGAGGGCCTGGATTCCATGGCAGTGCCTCCCAGAGTCCAGCTGACGACCGAGAGCTCCTAACGAAGCCTCGCAGGAGTCCAGCTGGAGGCCCAGGCCCCACGACAGTGGCCCGTGCAGGCCTGTCTCACGGATCTGCACTGGGAAGGCCCAAAGGTCAGCGGTGGAAGCTAGAAAGTGTGTGTCAGCGGATGAAGGATCTGTGCAGCAGGCTGAGGGGGCTGCACTGGGGCCAGGAAGTGACGCTCAAGGTGGGACCAGAGCTCCCCAAAGTGAACCGCAGCCGTCCTCAGGGACAGTGAGGTCCAGAGCTCCTCCGACGATGAGAGCTGTGTTCGGATCAGGAAAGCCTGCATGCCCAGCTCCTCCGGGAGAACCAACAGCCCCTGACTTTTCCTCTCCACTTCCCCTTTCTATGCTGCTGGCAACAACCCCCAGGTGGGGCTCCCGTACCCAGCACCATGCCATTCAGTTCAGTGGGTGTCCCAAGTTGAACACCAGTTGTCAACCACCACAGTGACCCAAGATTTTGTCATTGCCGAACAGACACAAGTAGGCACAAGCAGGATAGAAGAATTATGAGGGCCCCATGTGAGTGATGGGGCATTGTACGTTGCCTCTCACTGGACAGAACCTCCGGGCTTCTGCATATACCACTGCGGGGGAAACATTACAGCCAGTCACATCAACAGTCACAGTGATTGTCACAGCACTGAGTTACAGGCACGAGGCTGGACTCATGTGTCTTGGGATGGTACCCGTGACAGTCATCTCCATGCCGCCGTACCTGTGGCAGTTTTTCCTGCTGACATTTAGGAACTCCCAGAATAGCTTGGGGTGATGCCACCTACAGTTGTTGTTGACTTATTACAGATGAAAAGAGAGGAAAGAAGACCTAATGAAACAACAGAGAAGTTCAAGCAACTGCGCTTATAGAAAGAATTTGTTTTGCCTAAAGATAAAAGCAGGACCTTGTTCATTCTTTCTCCCTTTTCATGAGTATTTATGGAGTGTTCAAGTGGAACGTTTTGGGTGACAAAGCAGTAGAAGGCACTGCCTGTGCCCTCAGGGAGCTTAACATTTCTACCACATGAGAAGGTTACTAACGTGTGCTACCTGCCAAGCTGATGACGCAGAGGCATTCAGTGACCAAGGGCAGGAAGGGAGGTGGATCTTTTTCTCCACGGCAGAGGGTCACCGCTATGGCCACTGCTTGACCACCACCACCACGAGCAGCATCCACTTTGTGGGACACCCACGTGAGGGCCCCCCACTCTGCTGAGCCCCCACTTTCATTTGGTCCTCATTCCCATTCCAAAAGCAGTTTCTGAAACTCTTTTTAGCACATGGAGAAGTTCTGTTCCCAAGGTTTAGAAGTGAAACACTGTAACTTATCTAGGTTATTTTGCTCAGAAAGGCTGGATTAAGTCTATACGCTTGACCAGTATCATGCACCCAAATTCTCTCTCCAACCCTGCAGCATATTCTTTCTTACTATTATTTTAATGTATTCAGTACAGGGTCTCCAGGGTCTCATTACACAGATTGGACTCGCAGTGACTCTCCTGCCTTCCGCCTCTCAAGCGCTGGGATCACAGGCACAGGCCATCGTGCCCAGTCTCAATCGCCACATCAGTGCACCCTGGGGTTGGGGCCAGCACGGGACACTGGGGATTAAACCCCAACTTCAGCCCTCTGCCTAAGCAGGTGCTTTAGTCTGCTGAGTTACCTGGCTGGCCCTTTTTTTTTTTTTTTTCCTTATTATTATCTGAAGAGAATACAAAGCAGTAAAAAAAGACCAGAACATTAGGAACAATACAGAACTTCATCAAACAAAACAATAGGAATTGGACAATGGTTGCTGTATTGCATAATGTTGTCTTCAGATTAGTTGTTCAGATTCCCAGATATAAACATGCAAAATTGGTAGGAAAAAAAAAAGGAGAAATGTTACAAGAAAATAAAAAGGACAAGAAAAAAAATCAGGCCTTAACTGCTGTTCTCTGTAGACCTGCTGAAATCAGCTGAACAGTTGCCCAGGCCATCCCGGCAGCATATTTGGTCACCTCTGTTTTCACAAACACATCCCATGTCATTCTCTCCCTTACCCATCGGTTCCTGACGCTCAGGCTGGGCTGCCCGTTGCCCGCCGGGTCTGGGCAGCAGGCTTGTAACTAGACTGCCTGTCTTGATGGGCGCTCGCTGTGGTCAGCTGTTCACAGAGGGTCCGGAGTGACCCCCTGAAGACACGCCGGTCGCCTCTCCCTCTGCCTCAGCTTGCGATGCGTTTAGTGCAGCCTAGCCATCGCCCTGGTCTGCGGAGCCTGTGCCTTGGGGGTGCCGGCCGCCTCTCCATCTCACTGCTTCTGTCCAGGCAGGACGTGTTGTGTTGTTAGAGTCCTTTTCACATCAGTACTGTAGTGTCTGTAACTTCGGCCTGTTTCTTACACACCGGCCCTAAAGTGCCTCCTCATGGCTCACCCAGGATTTCAGTAACGTCTCTGCCCAGCAGAGCCTCTGGCCAGAGCCCCTTGCACGTGGTAGTGGTGGGCATTCGCACAATCCGCTTGTTCCTCAGCAGGGAAATGGGTAAGATTCAACAGACGTGCACCAGGGAATGCAGGGAGTGAAGAGGCAGTAACAGGCCGGTGACAGTGACACAGATCTGCAACCCCCACTACTCAGGAGGCTGAGGCCGGAGAACCACAGATGTGAGTTCAGCCTGGGCAACTAAGTGAGGTTCTGTCTGGAAAAAAAAAAAGGAGGTGAAGGGTGCTGGGAGCACAGCTTAGTAGTAGACTGAGGGGATTGCCTACCATGAGTGAGGCTCGGGGAGGGTCCCCAAGACTGCAGAGCAAACCAAAGAGCAGAGAGCACACAGGGCTTACAAACACGGAGCACGCATGCGGGGTGCTGCTGAGAAAAGCTGGAAACAGGGAAGAGCTGTGCTGCGACAGCGTTTGCTCAATTACACCAGCCAACGCTGCACATTCCGTAAGAGCGTGTAATTGCTCCAGGGCATTGATCAGATGGGGGCGGGTGGAGAGGCAGATATTTCTTATGAGCCCATCTCTGTGTCCTTCACTGCGAGGTGGCAGTTAGCACATGATACAGCCTCATATATGTATTTTGCTGCTTATTGTGCAGATTGCAAGTTAGGGTCCAGTTAAGGTCCTTTACTCATCAGTACTGTAGCGTCTGTGTCTCTATCACTGTTTGGCACATAGTAAGTGTTCAATAAATACCCAATGAACAGATGACCGTCCCTGCCAACCAGTCCTGGGAAGGTAGGGCTTGAGGGACTAAGATACGTTTACAGTAGAGCAAAGCAAGGTTAAATCACTTGCTTCAAACATGGCGCTAAGCCCTGGGAGACCCAGCCTTGAGTGAAGATTTCTGCTCTAAGCCCTAGCACAGGACCCTTTGCACGATGTCACAGGAGTCACCCTACAGTCTGTCTGCTTATCATAGACAAATGCCCCACATGTCCCATGAACACAGAGCTGTAGTCTATCAAGGTAGCGTTCAAGACTGAATGATTCCCCAGATTTTAGCTGTGCTGTTAAAACATTACAGAAGGCACTAAGAGAGATAACGCTCGCAAGGGTCGGCACACCGGGGTCCCTGGGACAGTGGCTGAGAAAGCTGTTAGTCAGCTGCACGGGGGCAGCTGACCTTTCGGGCTCACTGGCATTCAGCCACTGACATTGTAAAATCCTTGATGTTTTGATCTTTTTCTGTGTAATCACAGTTTCTGGTTTGTAGTATTTGAATTAAGAAAATGTTGATAACAGTTCCTAATCAAGGTCAGATTGTACTTTCAAGTAATCATACGGTTACATATATTTATATATATGTATGTTATATATATATGTATATACCCATATATATAGGTGTATATATATGTATATGTATATATATATTATCTATCTATCAATCATCTATCTATCTATCTATCTATCTATCTATCTATCTATCTATCTATCTATCATCTATCTATCTCAAGAGAATGGCGAAGAGGAGGCCCGTGGTTAAGAAAGAGGATGCACAGTGAGGATGCACCATAAATATTTAAAGTGTCCACGGCACTCCTGTCTCGAGGCCCTGGTCTTTAGCTTCCCTTCTGTCATTCACATAATTTGCGAGTTTTCCAGGGTCTCAGCTAATAGCCCAGAGCTCTCCCTGTCGGCCATCCTGAATGTCACCGTGGTCCGGAATGATAAGCAAGACTCACAGATTGACAGCCAGAACCTAAGTCTGCAGCGGCAGCTCTGCACTCTGAGAAGTCTGGGCTTCTACCTGAGAGGTCCAGAGCTCCATCTACCCGGATGCCTCCCTCTCGTTCTGTGTGTGAACAGCCTGAGGGTGCGGACGTGACACTTCTCCTTCCTCTTTGCTGACAGGTCACGATTGACATTGAAGACGAGAACGACGAAGCGCCTGTCTGTGTGCCCCGTCTTTACAAAGGGGTCATCTTTGACAACGTTGTTGCTGGGACGAACATCAATGGCTTCCAACTCAGCTGTCACGACAGAGATTCGCAAGACTATGAAATGCGCTTTGAGATAGCTTCCGGTGGATGACTTTATTACTTTTAATCAAAGCTTGTGTCAAATTGCCATTAGTTGTCCTGTGTTAGGCATGATATATAGCCCTAGAAAAGACTGTGTTTATGGAGGCTAAACTACGTATAGGATGACGTTTCTTGGCGACAAAGCGTCTCTTTCACTTCTATGTGGCCAATTTAATTTTTCCTATAATGGGAACATCTGTGACTGTACAGATGTTTTCACCACGAGACTTTGGACTTGCATAGGAAATATATATATATATATATATATATATATATTTTTTTTTTTTTTTTTAATTTTTATTTATTTATTTATTTATTTTGTGTGTGTGTGGCCAGCTCAGCCCACCAGGTGGCGGGGCTGGCTGGCATGTGGGGCTGGGGGATTGAACCGCGGTCTGTGAGCTTTGCTTAGCTTAGCTTGTTCTAAATAGGTGCTTTAGACCACTGAGTCATCTCACCAGCCCTTTGCATAGGAAATATGATGCTAAAGGTTACAGTGTAGGCCGCAGGATACGCTGACCATGGTGTTGGCCAAAAATGGCAGCCACCGTTCAGCCTGATTATCCTAATGGGAGATAATAGATGTTTTTGACTCTGCTTTTGTTGGCTTTACCCAGATCTCCACAGCTACATGGCCCTCTGTGGGAAGCATTTAATCAACACCAAGTTCATGCCAGGCTCTGTGCCAGGGGGCAAGCACCTAGGGGCACCAAGTGGGTTTGCACTTGTGGAGCTCCCTGCTTGTTAAACTAGCAATGACATCAATGATTACAAGATGATCCACTGTGCTAAGTTAAAGGACGCTCCTGGGTCTGCTGAGACAGCATTAAAGAGACTCATTGCAGGTCTGAAAGTCAGATCTGTTGCCATCTGGCTGAAAGAAGGGGAGTCTGGGAACCAGTAGGCACATGGCTAATTATCTTCAAGGACCAGGTTGGCATTGAAAAGCTCCCCAGAAAGCAGTGCCGTGCACGTCTGGCTAGCAGCGCAGTGTGCAGGGCCGCGCAGAACACGTGAGCTTCGCAAGGGCCTGGGGGTGCCCGTGGCCCAGCCTGCTCACCTGATTCCGCTCCAGCCCTCGTCGAAGCGAGGGCCACGCTGTTCTGAGTAGAAGATAAGGAAGAGGAAGTAGTCAGGCGAAGTCACTAGCTGACAGTGTGAGCTCTGGGGGCCGCGTGTGGGGGTGCAACTCAGACTTTAACCTTTAAAACATTTTTTCTTAAGAAGTTACCTTTATGGCCTATTTTACTTCAATTTAATTATAAGCTATGTATAGATATGGGAATTTAGAGTACAACAGCCAACTTACTTATATGTAGCTACTCTGTGATAACAGCTGTTTAAGATAGTTTGAGGACATCATTCAATATGTCTTAAAATAATTCCAATTTTTAAATTATTCTTTTTAAAGGAAATGAGAATCATCATTTTGGATTTGATCCCACTCGAGGCTCAAACACGCCAAAATTAATTGTGAAGAACCCTTTTAACTTTGAGTCTGGAGCTGATCAGCAGCGGCAATACCATCTCGTGGTGCACATCATCGACGACAATCTGAAGTTTGGCAAATCCCCCGCGCCCCAGACAGGCAGTGCTATCATAGACATCCATGTGATGGGAGCCCCCACGCCATCTCCTCCAGCCGGTTCTGAGGTAAGGAGTCGCGGAAGTTGGTTTGGTTCTCGATGTGGGAAATGCTCTACTGAAGATGGGAGCTGCAGCCAGAAAGGCTGAGAGGAGCCTCCGCCCATGAGCCCCTACCTTGGGGCACGAATGCACCCAGCTGCTGGGCCACGTCGCAGTGTGCATCTGCTAATGTAAGCTGTGAGGGTGGACGTACGGAGGACCCTTACGAAGCTAACCATGTCTGGCTTTTCTGGAAGTCCTGCCCGCCAGAGGGGACCACTGCTCAGTGAGTTCTAACAATTAAAAATGTCTACAAATTGGCGCTTTCGAAGGGTATCGCCTGTCGCCATGCTGCTTGTCCCAGCGGGCGCCTGTGCTGTGCCAGGCATTGTCCTGTGTGCTTTCCGGTCACTACTTCATCTAGTCTTCAGTCCAAGGAGACAGAGCTTTCCCATGCGACCTGCAGTGGCTGGGAGTGCGCACGGCCCCGTGGGGCTCCCGTCTGCACAGCGTCTTGCTCCTCGGATGCCGCGTGTGTGCGTGCGTGTGCAGGGCTCTGTGGAGACACGGGCGCGCTAATGCTCTGCTTGCCTTGGAATCACTTTCCCAGCATAGAAGAGGCCTGACCATCGAGTTCACAGAGGCCAACACATACAGATCCAGCGACTGGTACGTGCCTTTCGTCTTCACGCTGATGGCTGTTTTCTCCGTCGGACTGATTTCGTGGCTCTGTCTTCTGCTTTGGAGGTGTGGAAACATGACAGAGTGCTGCCGGACAGTGGCCAAGAAGGCCTCTAAATCCAAGCCCAGGTACATGATTTTCTTTCTAAGCGTTTGTTGGAAAGAGTTAAAATCAACGGGGACTTGGGGCTTTATTTCTGTGGGCATCTCAGTTTGCTTTCAAGAAGCAGAGAAAAGACGCCCAAGCTTGGTGGCGTCTTTCACCAGTGATCCAAAATCCACTTTATTCCAGAAACATTTGGGGAGTTTTCTTTTCTTTCTTTTTTTCTTTTAAAGTAGCAGAACATTATTGAATTATATTGTAAAATGTGCACCAGACTTCCTATAGGAAGAAGTTTTTAATGGAAAAGTTTAGAATTAGTCCCTGTTGGGTTGGAGAGATAGCTTGGTGGCCTAAGCGCCAGTCTAGCAAGCGCAGTGGCCCAGGTTTGATCCCTGGTACTGCATGCCCTGCTAGCCTCGAGCTCTGCTGGCCACCAGGCTTGGTGGCGCACGCCTGCACTCCCAGTGCTGGGGAGGCTGAGACAGGAAGATCACTAAGAGTCTGAGCTGCCTAGTGAGACCCTGTGCCAAATAAATACATGAATAAAAACATAAATAAATCAAAGTGCTGCATGTGCACAGACCTGACACTTCCATCCTGGTGGCATTTGCGTTGTGCGTGACACTTACCAATGCTTTCTTCCTCCCCCTCCTTTCCCTTCTCTCTCCCACTGTCCACCTCTCCTCCTCTCCCCTTTTGCAAAAGATCGGTCTCCTTGTCAAACAGGTAAGTTTGTGAGCAAACGAGCAGCCCCTGCCGTGTGTCACCTGATGCCTTTACAGACAGGTGCTTGACAGCCGGAGGGAAGCAGCTGGGCCTGGTGCAAGGGGCCCAGACAGGCAGGGCTTCCGCGGAAGCCTGGGGAGGGAAGTTTTTATTTATTAGGCAGAATTTATTTACGGTGTGGGAAAGTGGGTGGTGGCGGTTGATGAAGGCTGCTTGATTATTTCCCTGTATAGCTAGCATTGCTTTTTTCCTGGGCTAAGGAAGATGTCAGTCACACTCTGAATGTTGAATGAAATTATTTTTGAAACAGGTTTTTGCAAAATGAAACTGACATTGTGTCAAATTTTCTTTTTGTACAGAGAAATGAAGTACATTGCAGGTAAGATGTAGATTAGTAATTGTGACGTGATTAGGCTTGGATTGTGTGATTTTTAAAGAAATGCCACTCAGCGGATACCTGGGTTTTATTTATTTATTTATTTTTAAATAGGAGAGAGAACTCAGAAGGAAAAAGCTGTGACAGGAAGCAGAAGTAAAAAATTGGAAGTCTTAACAGTGAGTGCGTTCTGTGTCCCTCTTTAGTAAATCATTCCTGTAATTGCTGAGCAATGAAAATTTACTCCATATAAACAGCTGGCAAGTGTGCCTAACCATCATGAACAGTTCAGCTCCTCTGTTTCTGCTGAATGTGTGCATTAGGAAGCTGGAACTTCAGATCCAATCTTAGGATTTCCTAGGTCAAAGTTTGCCTCAACTGTTCTATGCATATGTAGGAAAAAACCCCCAAACTCTAGACAAACAGAAACCCAGCGTTTTCACCCTTACTTAAAAGTAAAACCTCTTTATTTCAAAATAAATTGTATGTCATAGAGTTGACTCAGTTCTTCAGCTGTAGGGTTTTTACCCTCGAGTGTGCAAACTATCTTCAAAGTGGGATGAACTTGACCAAGCAGCCGTGCAAGGCGCAGGCTGGTGCCAGGAAGCCGCAAATGCCGCGTGGGGCGGGAAGGGCCCGGCCGCCGCTCGGCGCCTCCCCAGCCACCTGGCCACCGCGGCGGGCCTCGCTGGCCCTGGATGGCGCCCGCCTCTCTTGGTGCTTGGCGAGCGCTCCCACCACCGCGTTCCAGACCAGGAGGCTTAATCAACGATGTACTTGGCCCAGCCCTGGCGCCGTGGTCTCTTCGGAGCCTCTCTGCCCGGCCCGCTGCTGGTGGTCGCCTTTGGCCTACGAGTGGAGATGGCCTTGTCAGGGTCTTGGTCCCCTCTTCTTAGGGGGACGCGGGTCACGTGGCGTGGAGGCCCACCCACGTGACCTCATTTTACTAACTGTATTAAGTCTTTTTTGCGGTACCAGAGATCAAACTCGGGACCTTGCGCTTGCCAGGCAGGCGCTTATGCCACTGAGCTGTATCCCTGGGCCCGTATCAGCTCCTTAAAGGCTGTCTCCAAAGGTGTGACAGCCTGAGGTTCTGGTGATTGGAACTTCCACATGGAAGTATGTGGAAGGCACAGTCTACAGTGAGGGCGACCCTTGCAGAGACTGAAGCCCAAACTGCAACCCAAAACCCACTTATTGACCTCAAAGTGCTGGCGCTGGAATTAACATGAATACTGAGGTTTTAGTTTAGAAAAAACAAAACAAAACAACTCACACATTAGCATCTTTAGTCTTAAAAGAAAAACAAATCATTCACTGTGGAGAGCAGGCTCAGCCGCTGTGTAATACCTCTCAGATGGACGGGGGCGTCACATCAGAATAAGGCGCTGAGGTCTGGAGGCCAAGGAGGCCACTGACTGGCGAAGGTGCTGCAGGAGAGCAGGGCCCTTGGCTTCCGAGGCTGCCGGCCCTCCGTAGGTGAGACGAGTAGCTGAAAGGGCGCCAGCCGCTCAAGCAGAAAACGCCTGTCAGAAGTCGTTTGATCAAGCTGACTGACTTGCTTGCTGTGTGTGCTTTTTCAAAGGAAACCATTGTGTATGAGACTGTGTTTGATGGAGAAGCCATTGACCCAGGTATGGCACTTAATTGTTATCTTAGACACTTTTCTCTCTTTGCTGAGAGAAGATACTGGATATCCAGAGTGAAGGGGGGACAGGTTTATCTAGCTGCTGGTTTATAGAGGATTCGGCTGGCTCCAAGGCAGAGGGCGTCACAGAGAAGGAGGCGTTCACGGTGGGCAGAGGCAGCCAAGCAGCGAGGAACACTCACAGCGCTTTCTGCTGCTCTCGTCTTATCAGGCTACTTAGGGCGGGCAGGCGCACACCCTTAGTCCTAGTGCCCTTGGACCCAGGGTTTGTGCAACCCATGGTTGCACCATGAAGCAACCCCAGCATCACACGCTGTGGATCCAGCCACCAAAGTCCCACCCAGACCACTTGTGGCTCTGGGGTAACAAGCATCTTTTTTCTGTGGAACTGGGGATTGAACTGAGGCCCTTGCGCTTGCCAGGGAAGTGCTTATTCTACTGAGCCATCTCCCGGCCCAACAGTCATCTTTTGAGTTAAGCCCATCCTGCTTATGTGTATGCTAGAACTATATAAATAAATTGCTCATTCATTACACTTTAAAAGTGTGACCCTGTCCTAAGGCAAACCATTTTAAAGCCAAGCAGGTAAAATTAATGACTACCAGGGACCAGGTAAAACAGCTCCTTGAATTACCAAGGGCAACGGTGTTGGGGGCGGGCCACCATTACTCGGCTCCATGGAATCCCTTCCCCGTGGGAAAGAGCCCTTCTGAGCACGGAAGTCCAGTGGAGCCGGACATTCCCGCTATTACAGGAAATCTGCCTGCATTTAAATAGAGGTAATGAGGTCAGTTAAACTCTATTTTACAGACCAAATGAATGCTTTCCACTAAATATCAGTGTGCACCCAACTACCTTAGGACTCGCTACCTTACAATAGCCACCCTTGCACTATGGCTTACTGTGATGCATCAGGAATTTGAACAGCTGTCAGCCGGGCAATTCTTTGCTTCATGAGCTGTCGATAATGGGTCCCTAGGACAGGCCAGATAGCTCAGCGGACTAAAGCACCTGCTTAGGCAGATGCAGGGACTGGGTTCGATCCCCAATCCCCGATCCCCAGGGTGCCGTGTGTGCTGAGACTGGGTGTGGTGGCGTATGCCTGTAACCCCAGCTCTTAGGAGGCTGAAAACAGGAGGATTACTACAAGTCTGATTTGTGCAGGGAGACCCTGCAGACCCTGTGCTAAATAATACCTTAGTTCCAGGCCCCTTGGCTATCTTGGCGTGAAATTACTGATGCCTTGCTGCTGAGTTCTAGCACTTCCTGAAGAATATCACCCCTGAGAAAGTATTTTTTAAAATTAAAAACATACTACTCATGTCGTAATTGGATCCGGGTTGAGCAGCCTCCTCTGAGTCCCACTTTCTGGGACTGCAGTGAGAGTGTGAAGGGACGTTTGCAGTGTGCTCACCTATGCGTCAGGCTTCCTGCGTTCCCACACGGGGAGGACCACGATTGTCCTCATGCTGTGGACATGGAGGCACGGGAGGGCCACACGGCTTGTTTTCTCCCCAGAGAAAGAGAAGAGGGGGCGGAACTCTGGCAAGCAGATTGAATCCTGGTAGTGGCAGACAGAAGATGGGGAGGAGAGGTCAGGCCCGTGGGGCTGGCGCTGTGCGCCCGCATGGGCGGAGGGGCATGCTGAGGGCCCAGCTGCGGGCCGGCAGAGCCGCGGAGTGCCGCAGCCGCCTCCTGCTCCCGTTTCCTTCTCACCCTCTAAAGCGAGCAAAGCACGTCTTGTGAGTGCTCACTTAGCGCTCACTGTGTGCTGAGCTTGGGGTAAGTCCTTTGTAGTCACTAACCTATTTAAGTTTGTTTTATTTATTAGTTAGAGATAGTGACTGCCCTCCGTTCTCCACTCGCTCTCCAATGGCCACCACTCTGCTTCTGTATCTATGAATTTGACTTTTCTAGGTGTCTCTTACATGCAGGACCACCCAATAGTTGTCTTTCTGTGACTGGGTTTATTTTTTATTTATTTATTTTTGTATTTTAGGGAAGGGTCTACAGGGTGTTCAGGGTCTCACTACTAGATTGGACTCATAGTCATCCGCCTGTCATCCTCATAGTCATCCAATCCTCCCAAGAGCTGGGATTATAGGCGCGCACCACCACGCCCAGTCTCAATTGCCGGCTCAGCATGCTCCGGGGGCAGACCTGGCATGGCCTGGGGATCGAACTCCCAGCCCCTGCGCTTACTTGCAGAAGCCTTAATCCACTGAGCTATTCGGCCAGCCCTTGTTACCACCACTCTTGACTTCTCTTGCCACTGAGTAGGCAGGGAATACCCACTGCATCGTCAGTGACCTGCTGCATGTTCTTCCACTAAAACCAGCCAGCCACCCAGCCAGCGGGCCAGCCAGCGGGCCAGCCAGCAGGGCCCAAGCACAGCCATACGTGGTATGATAAAGGTGCCAGCCAGGCCAGTCATTTCTGCAGGTTGAGGCCTGGCCTGGCCTCGCAGTCTCTCGTTTTCCCAGTGCCAAGGATGCAGATATTGCGCCCTTGGCTTATTTTGAGCCTGGGCACTTGATGTGGGATTCAGCAATTAGTTTTCAAGTCCCAGCATGAAATAGTAAACGGTGGTACAGCCTTTCTTGGTGTGTGGATGTTTCTGGTGGAGAGAGCATCGCCCACCCCAGCATGGTGTTCTGACAGAAGTCTCTGTTCAGTGTCATGGGCTGTTGAGCACAGTGAAGTGGCACGTGCCACAGAAAGGAGAGTGATACTTTAAGATGAAATGGGTGTAGCCACAGGGGTTGTGTGGCCCAGGAAGTGGTGCATAAGACGCTGTTCTGGTCACAGAGGTCAATCAAAGTGACACAGGTCATAGTCCCTGGCCCTAGGTTACTATTAGAGCTCGGTAGCCAGGTGGGATGGAGTCGCGTCTAGGCCCACCACGGGCAGACAGATGGTGTGACACTTAACATGTGTGTCCCTCAGCTTTGTCACTCCTAAGTGTGGCTAGTGGTATGCAAGCACCTTGCCAGGGGACATGCCGTATATTGTCACCTGTGGTTACTGCGGTTAGTCTTTCCATAATCACATCTTAGTCACCCAATAAGCAATCAGCAGCTGACTTTTGCACAACGGACCCCACCTACCCTGCTTCTTTTCTCTTGTATATTAGTTTCATTTTATTATTCTTTGGAGGTTGTAAAACCTCACACAATCAGAAGATAGTCTTTTTGAGGGTGTGCATGAGAGAATAGTTCGATATTCTTTTTTCTTTTAAACTTTTGCTTTAAAAATAATTACAGCTGGCTGGGGAGATAGCTTGGTGGTCTCGGTGCCTGCCTGGTGAGTACAGTGACCCAGGTTCAATCCTAGGACCCCATGCCTTGCCAGCCCCAGAACTGCAGGCATGTACGCTGGCCCTGAAACTGCCTGTAATCCCAGCGCTGGGGAGGTTGAGACCGGAGGATCACTACGGTCTGAGCTGCATAGTGAGACCCTGTACCAAATACATACATAAATAAAATGTTAAAAATAACAGAATCTCCAAAAAAATCACCAAAAGCAGCACAGAGCTACTGTGTATGCGTCAGCAAGCGTCTCCGAAAGGTACCATCTTTCAAACCTTAGTGCATTGCCTAAACCACAAAAGTGGTATTGGTGCAACAGGACGTGCTAGAGCAGAGATTTCCCTTGAAAAACGTCTCTGAGGCAGACGTGGTGGCACACACCCGTAATCCCGCACTCTGGGAGGCTGAGACAGGAGGGTTGCAGGTTTCAGCCCAACCTGGGCAACTCATTAAAAAATAAAAGAAGTGCTGGGGTTTGTCTCCGCCCGAGGGCCCTGGTTTTCATCCCCAGCGCCACTCCCAAACAGTTCTGTTTACTGTTCTATGACATTTAACCCACCGTGTACCTGTTAGCACAGTCATGATACAGAAATGTTCCTTCCTGCAGACAAATTCTGTGGAGGGCGGTTTTTAATGCGCGTGAGGTTACACGCTGCTTTGCGTGCGTCTAGTTTTCTCTAGGAGAGAGAGCAAGACTTGGGAAGACTGCCGAGGCACGGTGCAGCTGCGGAGCAAGCGCCCAGCGATGGCTCTGTGCGGTGAGTGAGGCACACAAGCACGCTGAGGCACGGGTCTGCTCTCCCTTGCAGTGTCCGGGAAAGTGTACGAATACAATAGCAGGACGGGAGCCAGAAGGTGGAAGAAGCCCCCCAGGACCCCCGAGGAGGCCTGGGCCGACCCAGGCTCCTGGAGCAGCTTCCTTCCGAAGAGTTGACTTCCTTCGCAACTCCTGTGTGAGGACAGCGTTTGCCAGGGATTCTGGATTTGGCCCGTGACTTGTGCGGGTGGGTGTGTTTTTGCTTTTGTTTTTTTCACGATCTAAAATCAGAGCCTAGCTGTGTGTGCAGCGCTGTGTGTTGTTGCCCTGCTCCGAGTTCCGGCGGGGCGCCTGGCGTGGAGAGCTGCGTCTGGATGAGGTCGCTGAGAGCTGGAGGTGCCTGGCAGTTGGTCGCGTGGCGCTGCCCCGCACGCTGCGCGCTTCCCAGGCCGGAGGCGCCCTCCAGCTCCCGCTGCCAGCACAGTGCGCTTGGGCGGCGGGGAGCCCGTGCTTACTTGGTGAATAAATGCGTTCCAGCACACAGATCTTCATCTGCCTTGGATTCAGATTGCTTATTTTACCATGACCCACAACGGAATTGGAATTATCTTTAGAAGATAATTTTTGAATAGCGCAGGATTTTCCAGCAATTTGCCTAAGCATCAGGTGCTGCTTTTAATTGTGTTTTTACAGCTCTGTGGAGAATGGCCACCTAAATGTTGCTTAGTCCTGACTGCCAAGGTCAGAACGGAGTTTCTGAGATGGGCGCGCTTAGACAGACGACGCCTACGTGCCGGGTCTCTTTCCCGGCCTCCTTCCTGGGCCATCTCGGGATCCTGCGCAGCAGGACCCCAGCGCTGGCGGGGGAGGCGCTAGGTCCGCCTTGAGTCCAAGATGGAGTAGCGCGGGATGACTCCAAAAACAAGCCTCACCCAGAGTAAAATACACAGTGAGCCCTGAACTAATCCTTGCGTCAGAAGGTGCGAGGGGCCCGAGGGACAGGAAGTGCTCTGCTAGCCTCTCCCTGGGTGCAGACACGAAGCAGCTCCCTCTCAGCCGGGAAGCTGGCTCTCCCAGCAGCAGCGAGCACCTGACAATAAACAGGGTCGTTTTTAATTTACACCTACCGGAGTGTGTCGTAGAAGTCGCGGAGGATCAGCATCTGGGCTTTGGGCGAGTCGTGTGTTCTCTGAACTTCATCTTTTCTTCTCGAAGATGCAAATAATAATAATCTTCTATAATAATCATAGAAGAAATAATCTTCTATTTCTTAGTGTTTTTTTGGTGAAAAAAATCAATATAAAACAATTGGGATTCTATACTTGGCAGCCCTTCCAGCCAGCAAGCTGTGTCAAGATATAGGTTTAGGTCGATTAGGTCAGAGAGCGGCGCTTGGGTCACAGGAAGAGCAGGGTCACCGCGAGGGTCTAGGCCACTCTGGGCTGCAGGTGCTGACCGAGCACTCCCTAATGTGGGTGGAAAGGCGCCCTGCTTATGTCTAGGTGGCAACACAATTCGCTACCAGGCGAGAGACCAAAGACTGGGGAAGCGCCTCCGCCGTCCCTGCAGCGCTCTCTGGACCAGCTGTGAGTTGGTGGGTGCGGGTTTGAGTGTTCACCTGACGGCGCCTGCGTGTGCAAGAGAAAGCTCTTACAAACATTCTTTCCAAAGTCAGCTTGCGTCAATTAGCACTCGATTTGCCTGTGCCAGACCCAACCGAACACCACCCAACCATGCCGCCCAACCAGCGCCCACGCTGAGAGGCTGGCGCTCGCTTCCAGCAGCGGCGCAGGCGGCTTGCACTTGTCTGGTCGCCTCAGCTCTCGGCCCTGGGCTGGCTTGGGAGGGAGGAGGGAGGGCTGTTCGCAGGAAGGGCCGCCTCTGGATGCCGCCTGCTCTTCTGTGTTGTATTGAGAAGCTCCAGTTTCTCTGCAGCAGGTAAGTTACTTTCCTGCTCCCGCCACATCAGGTGGCCACAAACAGTGGCCCTTGGCCCTCAGGGCCAGAGCTGGAGCGCCGAGGCGCAGTGTGGGCAGCTTGCTCTCTGGGGGCAGGTGGCCAGCCTGAGCCTCAGCTCTCACAGCCTCTGGGCCATGTCCTCCTCCTCTCCCCCGTCTGCATAGCTCTTTCCTCTCATTAAGGCTGCCACAATTCTCTCCACCTTGCTGTCTCGCCGCTTTTTACGTTAAATTTTGATTTGTCTTGGCGCATGCTGCGTCAATAAGATGACTGGTACCTAGGGACAGCCCTAGTCCTCGGGGGCCACCGACGGGTGTGCAGAGTGCAGCCGAGACCCTGCTTCACCTCCCCCGCCCCTCCCCCTCCCCCTCCCCTCCCCTCCCCTCTCTGCCCCGCGGCCGCCCCCCGGACTCTCCCGCTCGTCCCCGCCCCTCCCCCTCCCCCTCCCCTTCCATCTCTCAGGCCTCCTTCTTCAAGAGATCCATCTCTTGTTTCCCATCACCTCTCACCTACTTGTCCTTATCATCTGTTGCTCACTCTATTCATCTATCTGTCTGTCTTTTATGTTGCTCTTTGATTTCTTTATACTTTAAATTTCCTGTACTAGAGAGACCACGAGATACTTAAACGTGTGAGTCTTATTTACGTCACATAATATTATGGTCTCAAGTGTATCCCTTGTCCTCTGCATGATTCAAGTTTATCCTTCTTTATGGCTGAGTAGTATTCTACTATGTATAAAAACCACATTTTAATCTGGGCATGGTGATGTATGCCTCTAATCACAGCCTGTGGGAGACTGAGGCAGGAGAATCACTGTGAGTTACATGGTGAGTTCAAGGCTAGCGTGGATGGCATAGCCAACCTGTGTTTCAAAACAAAAAACAATCCTCCAATTTTCTTTATCCATTTATCTTTTGACAGGCATTAGGCTGCCTCCGAGATTTAGCTATCATGAGTAGTGCTGCCATGAACATGCAGATGCATGAGTCACTAAAATATGATGTCTTTAACTTTTGGGGGAGGGTACCTAGAGGGGAAACAGCTGGGTTGAATGAAGCATCCGCCTCTAGCTCTTTGAGGACTCTTCACACGGATTTCCATCGTGGCTGCACGAGTCTACACTCCCACCATTGGCGGAGAAGGGCTCCTGCTCCCCTGAAGCCTCACCAGCACTTGTTGTTACTTGATTTCGTGACCCTAGCCAGCCATCCTAGAGTGGAATCTCAGTGCTGCCTTAATTTGCATTTTTCTAGTGGCCAGGATGTTGCGCATACTTCAGACAACTATTCATTTCACTTGCCCATTTTTGATTGTTTTCTTTGGGGGTAGTCTAAGTTTCTTAGCTCCTTATATAGTCTAGATAACTAGCGTTTTGTCAAGGAGTAGCTGGCAGAATTTCTTCCATTCTGTAGGTTGTCTCTTCGCTGCTGTGGTTGTTACTTTTGTGTGGAGAAGCCTTTCAATGAGCTATGATTTCATCTGTCGACTCCTGGTGGAACTTGCAGAGCTGAGAGTCTATCGAGGACGTCTTTGCCTATGCGCATGTCCTCAGGGCCTTACCTGTCTGTCGTCCAGCAGCTCCGTGTTTCATGAGAGCTTGTTCAGAGGTTCCAGCAGGAGAGCGCAGTTGCTCATACACTCATGACTGAGTGTGCAGCTTGGGAGGGACACACGTGGAGCATTGAGGGAGGGAGGGGACACCCGCCAGACAGCCGGGTCAGCCGCATCCAGCCTGGCGACCAGTAGGGGGACAGATGGCACAGCCAGCTCGCCCTCTCACCCAACAGTTAAGCATTTCTGCTTTAATATTTAGAGCTTTTGCCCATTTTAATCTTAGTTTAGTACATGGTGAGAAGAAACAGTGGGTTCTAGATGCAGTCGTCTGCATGAGCGTGGCCAGTTTCCCAGCACCATGTCCTAAAGCGGCCGTCTCCCTTCCCGTGTGCGTTTTTAGTCCTTTAGCAATGATCAGAGAGCTGCAAGTACCTGGCATTATTCCTGTGTCCTCTGCTCTGTTGTACTCGGCCCTGCTGTGCTCGGCTCTGCTCTGCTCTGCCGTGCTCTGCTCTGCTGTGCTCTGCTCTGCTGTGCTCTGCTCTGCTCTGCTCTGCTGTGCTCTGCTCTGCTGTGCTCTGCTGTGCTCTGGTCTGCTCTGCTCTGCTGTGCTCTGCTCTGCCCTGCCGTGCTCTGCTCTGCTGTGCTCTGCTCTGCTGTGCCCTGCTCTGCTCTGCTCTGCTCTGCTGTGCTCTGCTCTGCTCTGCTCTGCT